CTGGATTTTTTGGAATATATATTTTTAAAAAAACCCACAATTTTGAGATATTTTTAAAAATTCCAGTTACACCCCCAAATAAGGCTATACAAATTAATTGAACTTGTCATGGATTGCGGCGTGAAAGTGAAATTGAAAGGAAAATTTCCCAGCTGCCACATGCAGATGTTTTCCCAAAGACCAGAACTTCGATTTACTGCATTTCTAAAAATTGAGTTACTTTTCAATTTCTTTGGTAGTTCTCAATAGAAAATCAATTTATATGGTTGTGAAGGGCCACACATGACAGGCACCACAGAAATCAATAGAATTTATGGTGGTGGGTTGGGGGAGGAGAGAGCATGTAATAAAGCCATGTGTATTTCCAGCCCCCCACCCCCCTTTGCCGGAATTGTGGCATTACAAATCGCTTTTTATTTGCAACTCAATACCGGATGAACATGGAAAATGCATCAGCCGGGGAAAATGCCTACCAAAAGAAAACACATTTTTCATATTTGTTCTTCTCCTCCCCCTTCCACCACTCTTGCTTCATTTTTTTTTTTCTTGGTTTTGCTTTGCTCCATTTGTAAAGGCTTTTTTCGCATCAGCCAAAGAAAGGAAATGAGGGCAATCTCCAGAATTTTTTTTAGAAGTCTATTAAAGTGAGATGGGGAAGGGAATGAAAATGAATAGAAAAGTAAATTCAGATTTTAAGTTTAATGCCCTCGAAGAGTAATTTTGAAGATGGATGGAAACAAAAAACATTTCAAAAAAAAAATCTCAAAAAAAAAATTCTTAAAAAATAAAGATATTTAAAAAAAGTAGATAAAAATTAGCAACATTTCCGAACACACGGATCTCTTAAAAAATATTTAATAAAAAATATTTTTGACAATGTTTTTCTTTCGAGATTGCCCTATAATGACCTATGGAGATAGCATTGAAAATTGGAATCAATTTTATTTTTATTTAAATTTTTTCCAAAATCTTCAATTCAATTTCTCGAAGAGTAATATTTGAAGATTGGTGGTGAGATAAAAGGCAACAAAACGGAAATTAAATCTAAAAAATTTTTAAATTTTTTTTTTCAAAAAAAAAAATATATAAAAAAATAAAGAAATTTAAAAAAATATATAAAAATTAGCAACATTTCCGAACACACGGATCTTCTAAAAAAAATTTCAATAAAAAATACTTTTGAGAATTTTTCTCTTTCGAGTTGAACTTATAATGACCTAAGGGGACATCATTGAAAATTGGAATCAATTTTATTTTATTTTTTATTTAAAGTTTTTCAAAATTTTCAATTCAATTTTTTTACCAATTTCAATTCCAATAAATTTATTGTTCAAACAAAAATTTTTCCATTTGCACTGATGACAATTATTCTTTACTTTTCCAACAAAAAAAAAAAAAAAAAAAAAAAAAAAAAAAAAAAAACATCGAAACGAAACGAACCTTCCCCCAACCCCCAACCCCCAACGAACATCGTTTTCCTTTGAATTGTGCAAATTCTCGGTTACAGCTATTTAATATTCAAATCACAAGAACAGACACCGTCGAATTCCTGTTAAAAGTTGTTAATAAAGTAAATAATGGAGTCTTTTCAAACAAATGAAACAATGAGTCGGAATGTAGCAGATGATAATGCTGGCACAGTGGGTTGGAAAACAAAAAAAAAAAAAATAATAATAATAAAAAAAAAACCGCAATTGTGCAAAGCTTGAAAAATGTCCCATTCTAACGAATTTTTGAAAAAAATGTAGAAGAAATTACTCGTCAAGTAGATATTGGAAAAAATATTTAAAAAAGATATATTCGTCTTATAGATCTTGAAAAAAAATATTGCACAGTGGGTTGGAACTATGAAAAATATTTTTTTAAAAATGTGTTAATAAAATTCGAAAGTATTTCCTTTTTTCCCCGAGATATTCCGAAGATTTCCCCGAGTTAAAATATAAATAATAAATCATTGTTTATTCCCTGATCTCTTCCATTTATCCCCAAAGCCCTATCACTTTCCATGGCGCAGAAATCTTCAAAATTATAAAAATACGTAGTAATTAATAATAGTCATACGCCAGAATGTCCAAAATTAAAAAAAAAACGAGATATTTATGGTTATGGAAAGGTGTTGACTTCCATTTGTTGGTGAAAATAGAGTCACGCATCCCGCAACTGTTTTCACTTGGCGACTAATAGAATATGTTACCCGTAAAGTCATCTATTGCATATTTCCACTGTTTGCTTTATATATTTCTCGATATATTATGATTATTGTCTAACATTTTCTTTAGAGCAGATCAAGGATAAGAATTTTGGTTTATACCCTGATGTCTTCCGAGTAAATACTGTTTTTTTCCAGGGCTCTATCTCTTTCCGCTGCGAAAATATCTTCAAAATTGTAAAACTACCCCGGAATTAAAAATAGTCATACGACAGGGTGTACAAAATTCATTTAACCTTATTTTTAATGGTTTGCCGAGCTATAGTTTTGTGTTTTTTGCAAAAAATAGGCTTACTTATCTCACTTCTACGTTTCTGACGCAATTATTCCCTTACAATACCTCTGAAGTTATCTATTCTGTGCTAATTAACAAAAGTCAAACTTATTTCTTTCATTTTCTGACTAACACCCAGAAGATGAATTTTGGTTTATGCCCTGATATCTTACGAGTAAATGCCACTTATTCCCAAGGCCCTATCACTTTCCATTGCAGAAATATCGTAAAAATTGTAAAAATACTCCGGAATTAAAAATAGTCATACGTCAGGGTGTCCAAAGTTCATTAAATGCGATATTTAAGGTTCTACAAAGCTGTGGCATTTATTTTTTGGATCGAAACGGTTCAATATACCATTCCAAAGAATCTCATAGACGATTATTCGGATAGAATACCCCTGTATGCAACTTTATGGTGATAGCTGACAATATTCTAAATTATTTTTGAATTATTCCGTGATACTCTTTAATTTTTTTTCCTGAATTTTCCTCTACCCATAAGTTTTTTAATTTTGGTTTATGCCCCGAGATCTCCTGAATATTTTGCGCCCTTATCCTGGCCCATACTAGCTTTCTTTGGGGAATTATGATCAAAATTATGAAAATACCTCATAATTTATAACACTTATACGCCAGGATGTCCAAATTCATTAAAATGCGATATAAGGACTGCAGCAAGATATCGTTTTTCTTTTTTCTTGGTACAAATGGGGTCGCATGTTCTTCCAGCTTGCCTCAGCCTGCCGATAATTTGACTTAATTGCCTTTTATCCATTTTTTGGGTGATAGCCGACTATATCCTAATGTATTTTCAATTATTCCACGAAATTCGTTCAATATTTTCCTGAATTTTCCTCTGCACCCTTAAAGACTTATAATTTTGGTTTATTCTCTAATATCTCCTGAAGATATTCCACAAATTTCCTGGCTAATATAAGCATCCGTTTGGAAATTATTGCAAACATTGTAAATATACCCAATAGTTAATAACACTTATACGCCAGAGTGCCCAAATTCATTAAAATTTAATATTTAAGATGTAAGCTAGCTGTTAGGACATATTCTCAGATTAGAATAAGGCCCTTTCTGTCCCACAGAACAATTATTCAGATATATACAACTCCTGTAGCAAATTTTTTTTGAGGTAACTGTTAAGATTCCATTTTATTTCAATTTATTTATCGACATTTCTTGAATTTCTTCCCTGAACTTCCCTCTGCAATTGTAAAGCTTATAATTTTGGTTTATTCCCTGATATCTCCCGATTATTTCCCGCCGATTTTTAGGCCAACTAGTAGGATATACATAATTCCTGCAGCAATTTTTTTTGTGGTTGTAACTGTCAAGATTTCATTTTTTTTAAATTTATTTCTTGATATTTCTTGTATTTTTCTTTCAGAAATTTCCTCTTTCTCATATGGATTATAATTTTGATTTATTCCTTCCTATCTTCCGATTATTTTCCGCTAATTTTTAGGCCAATATCAGTTTCCATGTAGAAGTTATGAACAAAATTCCAAAGATACCCATGAATTAATAATACTTATACGCCATAGTGTGCGAATTTATAAAAAGGCCGTTCTAAAGACCCCAACGGATATTTTTCTTTACTTTTTAAATAGAAATAGGGTCACTTAACGACCCACTGTGCCTGGAAATCATATTCATGACATATACCTCCCTACAAGTTGTCTATCCTACTCAGTTTTGTCCGTCCGTCCGCCTGTCTGTCTGTCTCCCTCAACGGATGGTAATGCACCCACACATTACAATACATGAGTCGTATCTCCATTGTTGGGCTGTTGTAAGCTTTGCTATTTCTTTTTCATCCTCTTCATTGTTGTTGTTGTTGGCGTTGTCTCTCTTCTTTCACGTTTCATGTAGGAGGCATAGCCGAAGAACACAGCGTAGAAAAAAAAATATGCAAATTAGTTTAAAGCAATGCAATGCACAGAGCAAAGGAACCCAGAACAACAGAACGACAAACTCTGTTTTGTAAAGAACACCAAAAAGACGTGAAGTACATTAAAAATTCGTCACGCTTTTGAGGAGGAGACAGAAGACACCGAAGAAGAAAAAGAACAAACAAAAAACGATGGGATTCTTAATGAACATTTTCTGTTTTTGGTTTTGGTGGGCTGGTGAATGTGAGTAAATGTTTGAATTGTATAAATGATTGTAAATTATTTTTAGGTTAGACTCTGACTTCGTGGTTGTGTAGTGTCTTCGAAGAAAGCCCTCGCCTGCTAATGATGATTCATTAGCGTTACTTTTTTGGGGCGTCATGGCTGAGCTTTGCAATTTATTTACACAATTAATTTCCTTTGCTGCCCTGGCAATAGTCAATAAGGTCCGGCATAATTTTCCATGGAAAACGTGACCAGAATTTTATTTTCCAAACGTGTCCCAAAGCCTCAAAAGGAGTCTTAAATTATGATTCTAATATTTAATAATTTTGCCGAAAAAAAGGAAAAATAAATTTAATATTTTGTTCCGATTCTATTTTGCTACTCACCTTCAACTTTGGCCAATGCCAATACGGAAATTGTTTGCAGTGCCGGTATGGCCCAGGCGACCAAATGAAAGAGATGTGATTTATTTTCAATGGCTTCATGACCCCATTTTAGGCCGGCCGCCAAAAACCAGGCAAATGCCAAACATGACCACCAGGCAAAGGCGGCCATACAGCAGAAATACAAAGCCATGAATAGAATGGCACAGGCCGTTGACTGGCGATGACCCTGGAAAGAGGCAAAGAGGAGAGACACAAAAATAATTTAAAATATGGAAAATGAATTGAAAAAGTCATATAATTTTTCATAATTCTAATAAGAAAATATTTAAAGTCTGGAAAATGAATTGATATTTGAATAAATTCATAAAATAATTTATAATTCTGGAAAGAAAAAATGAAAAGTGTGTCCTACCTGTGTTATGGTGGACATCATTTGCAAACGTCCCAGTTTGACTGGCGGTGGGAAGGGTTCCCGACAGGCCACCGAATCCCCGGCTCCCAAGCCGGCCACATAGGCACAGCCCACAACCAAATAGCAGACGGCCAGGAATACAATGGCTCGCTCAGGGTAACGGAAGCGGGAGGAGTCAATCAGGAAAGTGAGGACCTGAAAAAAAGAAAAAATAATTATTTTTTACCATAAATTTTGGAAAAACTGTGAAAATTTCAGAGTTAAGGTTTATGAAAATTAAAAATCCTTATATCTCCGGTTAGAGGCATCTCTTGGCTTCAAGTTTCCCTTTGGGATTGCCCTCCTATCTGCACGTTTTATAAAAATATTCATGGTTTTCCAAAATTACCCAAAAATTAAAAACACTCATACGCCCTGAGGCCGTTTGGGAAAATTTTAAATTAAAGGTTTTAGGAATGTCGTAGGAGAACGATTTTTTGCAGAGATACTCAGACAGTTAAAGGCTTAAACTTTGTCTTTAGAGGTGTCAGGTTATCACTTCATTCCCCCAAATTATTGAAAGTTTTTGGAAAATGCCAAAAAATAAATTTTGTTCAAAGTTTCAAAAGAACAAAAAATATAAATTTTGGAAAAACTCTTAAAAATTAAGACTCAGGAATCTATAAAAATTAAAAATTCTTTTCCAGCTGGATAGAGGCATCTCTTCGCCACAACTTTTTCTTTGGGTGTGCCTTCCTGTCTGCGCGTTTTATAAAAATATTCATGGTTTTCCAAAATTACCCAAAAATTAAGAACACTCATACGCCCTGAGGCCGTTTGGGAAAAATTTAAATTAAAGGTTTTAGGAATATCGTAGGAGAACGATTTTTTGCAGAGATACTCAGACAGTTAAAGGCTTAAACTTTGTCTTTAGAGGTGTCAGGTTATCACTTCATTCCCCCAAAATATTCAATGTTTTTGGAAAATGCAAAAAAAAAATATTAGCTCAATTTTTTTTTTTTTCAAAATACTTTGAATAAATTAGGGATTTAAAGCAACACAATATAATAATAAGGAATTCAATTATTCCTCAGAGTTGCTTTATTCGAGATACATTCCACTTAGATATTCAAAATAGAACAAAAATTGTATTTTTAATGATTTCTTAAATCTCAAAAATTTGACAATTCCTTGGGAAATATCAAAAATTAAGGCCATAGGAACTAACACTCCAAACCTTCTTTCTCATGATAATAGAGGCACCTCTTGGCTACAATTTTCCTTTTGGAATTGTAGAAATATCATTTCCCCTTTTCAAGATATCTACAAATTTCCAAAAATACCCAATAATTATTATTACTTATACGTCCGATAGGCCATACAGAAATATCCCAATAAAAAGACCAAGAATAGATATTTTGCAAATATTTTTTTCAAAGATTTATTTAAGAATATTTTCCCCGAACCCTACAAACTCCAACCCATGTTTCCTAGGCGATTAAACAAAAGCAAATCCTCGCAAAAGATTAATGAAAAAGATCCTCTTCAAAACACTCGCTTAATTCACAACAATTTGTTAACACAATCTTGACAAATTGAAGGGGCTCCTTTTTTTTGGTGGAATCCTAAAAAGCCGGAAAATGTAGCGTAAAGTGACCCTAAAAAAATACATGGCTATCGTTTACAAACGAAAGGAATTTGAAAAAAAAAACACCGAACCTAAAATCGATTTGTGTGAGGAGCATGAAATTTACTGTTGCTCTTCTTTTTTGTGCAAATGGCCAACAAATTGCGGTACCACATGAAAAATGAGCAGAAATAGGCAACCGCAGAATAGAAAAAGAAGGGAAAACATTAAAAAGTGTGGGCAGAAGGAGATTTGATGGATTTTTTAATGGATAGGAAGTGGTCTATTTAAGGATTTTTAAAGGATATTTGTTGGTCTAGAGATGAGAATTTTTTAAAGAATATCTACAAGACTCAAATGGTGAATTTTATATGATTTTTTTCAAGAGATTTTAATTCTACAAAGCTTGACTTCTTTATGAATTTTTAAGGAAGGCTAAAGGATACAAAATTTGGATTTTGTTGAGGACATTTATAAGGATACCAAAAGTGGATTTTAAAATCAGCTTCAAGGATATTTACTTTCCATAAAATGCAGTTTTGAGGTTATTTACAGCACACGAGACGTGAAAATTATCTGGAATTTTTTCGAGAAGATTTTCAAAGATATTCGCAGGCCAAAAGATGTGGATTTTTAGAAAATTTTTAAGGAATTTCTTAAGGAAATTTTCAAGGCATCCAAGTGGATCTTTAAAGGAATTTTTCCAGGCTATATACAGATCAGCAAACTTGGATTTTTAAAGGTTATTTACAGGCCACCACGACTGGATATTTTAACCTAATGTTATTTTTTAGTAAATTTTTTGAGGACAATTTGGAGACTACTAAACATAGATTTTAAAGGTTTTTTTTTTTGTTTTAAAACGCCCATAAAACGTGGCATTTCTTAAGATTTTTTGAAGACTATTTGAATGATACCAGACATGGGCTATGAAGGAATTTTTGTGGAATTTTGAAGACTACCAAGCATGGCTTTCTCAGGGATACGTGGAGTCTATTTTCAGTGGATTTTTAGAAATATTTGGGAGCTGCAAGAGCTTGTTTTAAAAACGATCAGACATATTTTTTTTTGTACTTTTGAGGGATATTTGGAGACTACAAGGTCCATATTTTTAAAGGCACATCCGATGCATTTTTAATTGCAACCAGATATGGATTTTTTAAAAAAGCATATATGAAATTTAACGAATTATTTGGAAGACACCAGACGTGGAATTTTTGAAGAATATCTTGAGGCATCCAGGCGTGTATTTTTTAAGGAATTCAAGGTTTGAATTTTTGAGAATTTTTCCAAAGACATTTAAAGGCTAGTAGACGTGACTTTTAAGAAGTTTTTGAGGGAAATTTAAAGGCTCCGAAGTAGGATTTTTTAAGGTTTTCCTGAGGGATATTCAAAGGCTCCAAAGCATGGATTTTTTGGGATTTTTGAGGTTAATTTAAGGGTACAAGGTAAGGATATTTAAAGGTTCCAAGGAGTGGATTTTTCACGAATTTTTAGAAGCATTTAAAGGAATTTTTAGGGGATATTTAAAGACTTCAAGGATTGAATTTTTTCAGATTTTTTGGGAGATAAAACGTCGATTTCTTAAGGTATTTTGAAGGGACATTGAAAGGCTCCAAGGATTGGATTTGTTAAGGAACTTTTAGGAGGCATTTAAAGGCGCCAAGGCTTGAACTTCGATAGTCATTTAAAAGCTACAAGGACTAGATTTTTTAAGGAATTTTCAAAGGCATTTTAAGACCCCGAGGCATTTTTCAGGAATTTTTGAGAGGCATTTAAATGCTCTAATGCGTGGATTTTTTCAGGAATTTTTGAGGGATGTTTAAAGACAAATGAGGATTTTTTCACGAATTTTTAAGAGGTACTTAAAGTCGTCAAGGTTTGGGTTTTTTTTAAGAATTTTTGGGAGATATTTGAAGGCTCCAAGGATTGGATTTTTTCAGGAATTTTTAAAGACTCCAAACGTGGATTTTTTCATGAATTTTTAAGAGGGATTTAAAGTCATCAAGGTTTGGATTTTTTACGAATTTTTGGGAGGTTCCAAGGATCAGGAGTTTGTAGAGGCAAGTTGTACATTTTTAAAGAATTTTTGAGAGGCATTTTAAGGTCCCAAGGAGTAGATTTTTTAAGGAGTTTGCATGGGATGTTTTATGTTTCCAATGTGTGGATTTTTAATGGATCTTTTCAGGAGGTTTTGGAGGCTCCAACTCATGGATTTTCAAATAACTTTTGAGGCATATAGATAGATATTTGAAGGCTCCTGGATGTGGATTTTCAAAAATTTCAAGGATACCTAAAGGCTCCGAGTAGTTAATTCTTTTATAAAAATTGAGACAACCAAATGTGATATTGAATGATTTTTTCGAGACCTGATTTTCTTACAAATTTTTGAGAGAATTTCGAAAGCATCGAGCAAAGGATTTTTAAGCGATTTTAAAGGGATATGTGGAAGGATTTATAAGGAATATTTTAGGGTTCGGGGATTTGATATTTAATAATTTTAATGATTTTTTTTTTTCAAATCCTTTTCAGCTCCGTGCAATGGAGTTTTTGAAGGACATTAAGAGACTCATAGACGTATATTTCTGTGGATAATGGATGTCTTTAAGACTTAGAACTTTTTTTTAGCTTTTTTTGAGTAATATTCGCTGTATGCTGCCACATATGGATTTTGGGGGAATATTTGGAGGTCAGAAAAATTGAATTTTTGAAAAATATTGAGGGATATTGGAAGGTCTGAAAATTTGAATTTTCGGAAAACCAATGTTTATTTGTTTTTGCATTTTTAGGGGAATTTTTAAGCCTCCATTACGTCTTTTTTTAAGTTTTTTTGAAGGGATAATTGAATGCACAAATAGGTGGATTTGTTAAGAAATTTTGTGGGAAGTTCTAAGGTTGCGTTACGTCGATTTTCAAAGGTTTTTAGGAAATGTTTAAGATCCCAATCCCTGTATTTTTATGAATTTTTTTTAGGGATTAATAAGGGCTCCGAACTTTTTGAAAGAGTTTTAAAGACAGCCAAACTTGACCTGTTACGATTTCTTTTGACATTTATATAAGTGACCTGAAATTTTAAGGGAATATTTAGGGGTACTGAAAGGCTCCGAGAAATATATTGGAAAAAACTTATAAATGTTTTGATGTCTAATTTTTGAAAGGTTAAAAAGGGCTGATATTTGAAGCCCTGTTATTTTGAAAGAATATAAGGGCCATTAGGAGTTGAATTTTTAAAGAATTTTTTGAGGACTCTTTGGTGCTTACCAGATGTGGTCTTTAGGAATTTTAAGAAATATTTGAAAACCACCAGACTTCGATTTTTAGGTATACATGGAGGCCCGCTCACTTCGATTTTTTTTATTTATTTTTCCTACTTTTTTTCTATTTTTTCCACTAATTTTCTGAGGGTGTGTTGTTTCTCTCTCCCATTCGCATTTCAATAATGAAGTTCTATTGAACTACAAAAAAAGCAACAACAACAAAAACAACAACAACAACAAAAACAACAAATCATATAATCATAAAATTTGCATAGCTGCGCCGCTTGGCTTATCCATAATTCATTTTCATACCTTAGAATTCGAAATTGAGA